TATGGTTCAGCAAAAGACATAGTCATAGAGTTAAAGAAACATACAATAACCCCTTGTTTCTATCCTTCAGCCCGTGTTGTTTTCTTCACATGCTTGAGGACCATATTTCTCCACAACATGTCCCTATTAATAAGAAAACAATCAGAAGCAACCCAAAACTGAAACCAATAATATCTCTATATTAACAAAGAACACATCCATTTTTGGAAAAAAGTAGTATTAACGAAGAGATATTTACCATGGGAAGGCAGCAACTACTTACATCGAGAGAAAAGATCTGGTAGAGTATAACTTGAGAAACCTGAAGCTGAAAGGAGTAAACCAATTGCTTCTGGAGTCAATGGTCTACATCTTTTTTCTTAGCTCTCCATTTGTTACGTCTTAGGCTATTCCTTGCCAAATCACCTAAGACAAAGTGAAATTATGGGAAATTTTATGTTTGTCCAAAAACGATTCTAGATCATTAAGCAAGGACTTCGATATATTAATCAAAAAGACACTGTGGTAAACTATTAGTCTAGGGAAAGAGATCAGTTCAATAGAAACAAACATGATGGCAATGAGAGAAGGTAAGAGAACGAGTCACCAGTTCTTCAATGGTTGAATCTGATGGTTGTTGTGCAATCAGACACTGAACTTCATGTTTGCGGTGTTTGTTTTATATGAGGAGTTTTAGTGAGGTCAAATCTGAAATTGTTTTTGTGACGAACGTATTAGAGACAGTTTATTGAACAACTCAAGTCCGCATAATTTCAAGCTCCAAACAACAAAATAGGATCGCAAATGATAAAAGTATTAAAAATACAGTAAAACCTCTATAAATTAATACTCGATAAATTAATAAACTCTATATTAATAAATTTTACCGGTCTCAACTTGGGCCGGTGTTAAATATGATGCAAATCGATAAAATAATAAGATAATAATATTTTTAAACTTCCCTGTCAATATATAATCCCCTTAAAATCATAAATTAATAATCTATCTATCTATCTATCTATATATATATATATATTATAAGTACAAACTAAAATTTATATTGTTGTTTTTATATTCACAATGAAAATACCTCTATTTTTCTTTATATTTCAATAAATTTTTATAATTTAGTGAAATTATATCGAAAACCACATAACAATACTATGAAACATAAAAATATAGACCAAATAAGATAATAAAACACTAAAAAAATTCAAAGTTATAAAATTTAAATAATTTATATTGTAAAATAAAATATTTTCTAAATTTATAAATAAAAATATAAAAAAAAATCTAAAAAGGAAACTTTTATAAATTAATATCTCTATAAATTAATAAAATTTTAAAGTCCCAACATTACTAATTTATAGAGATTTTACTGTATAATGATCTGATAGATAGAGATCTTGTGTACACAAAAGAGGGAGGTTGCGACAGGATTTAATGATCGTCGGCGACAATTTCTCCATTGACGGGAGGCCCTTTTCAAGGGAAATGTCTGTCAACAATTTATCTTCGATAAGTGACCAAAAATCTGACTTTCCAAATATACACAAAGAGTTCAAAATGACAGATTCTTTTTTTCTGTACCCACAATATAGAATTCTAGAGATTCTTTCTATCATCCAATTCATTTAAATCAAATGACCCAGATGAGAAAATTTACCAATAAATCTCTAGCAAAAATCAAAGGAAAATCTCCACAAAGCTTACAGACGGGACAGTAGAAAGAGACATTCAAGAAAGATTGCATTGATGTATTGAAGCTCAAGAAGTGGACGTAGATGATTGAATGCCATAACTGCAGACGTTTCTTAGAATCATCAATGAGGAGGAGAAGCTGGACGGTGAGTGTTTCACACGGAGAAGATTTTTGGCCAAAATCATCATTGGCGGGTTCTGCTATGCGTCTCCAACAAAGAAAAACATACTATTAACATCTGTGCTTGTATGAAAAATAGTAACAAAACCCAATGAATTTCTCAGATAAAATACTTAGCCCATTCAACATAACTCACCCAAACATAAACACAAAATGTATAAATATTGAGTTGACACGTGTCCTTATTTACCCTTCATTCATTGATGATGTGGCATCATGAGAAGAGAGAGAAACCTATTTATTATATAAGATTATCATATACACTATTAAAATCTTTTATTCTAGAGCAATGAGACTGTCCACGTATGCATATTTAATCAGCCAATAGAGTGTCTTCCTGCGGCTACGTCAGCGACAACTTGGCAATATATTTCTGTTGGGCTCATTTCATTTGGGCTTCAAACGTTATTATCTGCAAGGCCCCCATACCAAACGTTCTTCATCGCCTCCTCTCTTCTCTCATCCTCCCCCGATTCATCTTCCTCTCTCTTTGCCTTTTCCCTTTACAAATCGGTTTCGAAACAATGCTTCATTGAGATTGATTCTTTTTCGAAATAGGAGCACCGAGAGCTGCGTAATTCCCTCCAAGTTAAAAATCTCACCATCTTCCAAATAGGAAGCAATGTTTGGGACTTAGACAAAGGTTTCATGTAATTCCGAAAGGGTGAATAACAACATTATGTTACTTATTTTTTTACTGTCTTATAAAATCTTTGTTATAATATTATATAGTATCATGTTGTTGTTGATTGTATTAAGCCATTTGTGAAAATACTATAATAAGTATTCAATGAAATTACAAATAAAAGAATTTTTTACAAATTTTTAATTTTAAATAATATATATATATATATATATTGTAATTATGAAGCATTTAAATGATCACCAAAAATATGTCACAAAACAAACCAACTCTAAATTTATATTAGTCAATCTATAAAAATAGATACATTTTAAAGAAAAATAAACTTATATATCTTATTCAAAGATTTTAAGAAAAATTAAAGACAATAATTGGAATTTAAGATAAGAAGAAAAAAAAACTTCAATTTACTTTTTTATGTTTTTATGGTCGTGATAGTTTTTTTCTAATAAATTATCATCCTATTTTAAAAATTCATGTTTTTTCACCAAAATTAAATTATCTAATTATTAGAAATTATGGATATTCAAGATTCTTTTAAAAAATAATAAAATAATAAAAATAGTTAACATAATTGGCAAAAATAAAATATAAATAAGTTAAAGTATATAATCCGCGCGTAGCGCGGAAAATGCATCTAATACTAATAATAATTTCTCACTTATTTACAAATTACAACATAGACAAATATTTACCCAAAATTGGGTCAAATGGAAAAGTAAAACAAGTTAGACACATGTAAGGCCCTTGAAAAAGCCCAATAGGTTGATCGAGTGCTTCCTATAGTTTCAAAAAGGGTTCTTCTGAATCATCCAAAGGAGAGAAACCTACGATCACGAGAGAGAGAGAGAGAGGCAAAGATTCGTTCCTAATCGTTTCGATCCGAACTCGTAAGCTCTCCAGTCTCTCTTCAATCACTTTCACGTCTTGTTGTTGTAGTTTGATTATCTTGTTTTGTAGAACCTCCGATCATCTTATTCGTTATTAGGGTTGTTATGATCGGAATCCATAGCTGTTTCTTTGTTCCTATGTATTTTCAATTGAAATTGGCTTTATCATGATTGTAGAAGAAGAAGCTAAGAGGCGTCATCATGATAGGGTTATTCAAGGTTAAGGAGAAGCAAAAGGAAGAAGCTAAGAGTAACAACGCAAGAGGAGCCTCTGGCAAGAAACAATCTGCTGGTGAACTTCGTCTTCACAAAGGTTCTCTCTCTCTTTACATTGTTGTGTTTCTTCTTTAAGGGTTTTATCCTTTATCTAAAGTCTAATACTTTTATCCTTTTACCTTTTTCGATCTTTGGTTTGTTGAAAATAGATATAACAGAGCTGAACCTGCCAAAGTCTTGTTCTATCTCTTTTCCTAATGGAAAGAATGACTTGATGAACTTTGAAGTCACCATTAAACCCGACGATGGCTATTACTTGTAAGTTGTTTTATTAAAATATATATCTTCCCTTTCGCCTTTTTCTTCTCTCCGTTGCTGATTCGTTCTTGTGTTTACCAAAAAAAAAAACAGAGGTGGTAGATTTGTTTTCACGTTCCAGGTCTCTCCTGTGTACCCACATGAAGCTCCAAAAGTTAAGTGCAAGACCAAGGTTAGGCTTCTCTCTTCACATACATGTTTGTTTGTTTATTTGTTTGTTGATTCTTCTTGTAATATGCTTATAAAGGAATATGTATGTAGGTGTACCATCCGAACATCGATTTGGAAGGAAACGTGTGTCTGAACATCTTGCGTGAAGACTGGAAACCTGTTCTCAACATCAACACTGTCATCTACGGTCTTTTCCATCTCTTCACGGTATGTACAAGAATCTCCATTACAGATAGATGCTTCTTTTTTAGTGGGACTTACGTGTTTTTTGTTTCTTCACAACAGGAACCCAATCACGAGGATCCTCTGAACCATGACGCAGCTGCGGTTTTAAGGGATAACCCGAAGCAGTTTGAGATTAATGTCAAGAGGGCTATGAGTGGTGGCTATGTTGGCCAAACCTCGTTCCCTCGTTGCATCTAAGGTCAAAACAAAAGCTATGGTTCTGTTTCACATTACTCCTCTTCTTTGTCTCTAGACACTTGTGGTGTTTACTCTTTTGTACATTTGGCTTTTATGATCAATACCGGTGATACCAGCTAACCCAACCAACCGATTTTGACTAAGCATAATAATACTCTACTTCCCTTGAATCTTGAAAATGTATCGATTTTTTTATCCTTACTAAAGACAACACAATCCAATTGGGACAGCCATCATACGACATTGTCCCCTATGCGTAGGAGGAACAGTCTCAGCTAAGATTGGAGAGTTGATGGCTGGTCCACACCAAGTTATGGTGAGATTATTCTTAGAAGAACAATGGAGAATATAGAGCTCCCATGAAAACGCTGAATCGTGCCTAAGTTAGGAACTCTGTTGTGAAAACCATTGCCTTCCTCCAGCCTATGATTCCCTGCAATACGATTATCTGAAATGTTCCTAATGTGGTTACATCTTTTCATGGCCACCCACGATTCCATCCAAAATCGAGCTCGAACTTGCTGTTGTTGCAGCAGCAGCATTGTTTCCATCTTACAAAAACGTATTCCTAACTCAATATAACAAAACAAACAAAAACGTAATTACTGAATTTCTCGCATAAATAAATCTGAAATTCATTATTTCTCACATAATTGTTTCCATCTTACAAAAACGCATTCCTACCTTTTTTTTGTCAACTTTTTCATTTTATAATAACAAGATTGGATGACAAAAAAAATAAATAATAATAATAATAACAAGATTGTGTGTTTCAAATATATATATATATAATAACAAGATTGTATAATGTTCATGGCTAATGTCAGGTGATTACATACTGTTGTCCATTGCACCTAGCTGTTTTCGCTAAATGATCTGCAGTTACAACAAGATTCCCAGGGACATAGTAGAAAGAGAAGCTATTTTGCTATATCTTTGACTATGGAGGTAGCTTCATTTATGCGATCTGCATGACTTCTTCCATCCATAGATTCCAACTTTAAGCTCTTAAATAACTCCCCACAATCACCTATAAATGTGACCCTACTATATGCTAGTCTGTGCACTTGTTAAACCGCTATCAGCATGGCCATTGCTTCTGCTACCAATGATGATGAGATAGGTTCAATTGCAGAACTTCCATGAAGTCTAGGAATGCCTTCTTTGCTTATTAAGGACCACCCTATTCCAGCTTGTTCTTCTGGTGACTTCCAGAATGCATCTACAATATACAGAAAGTCTGTTTGTTGAGGGAGAATGTGGAGAAGCGAGTTTAGAGAGACGATAGCTTGACCCTGATTTACATCAATGTTATGGAAATTTGTAATTGAAATGAGACTTTGTGTGTAAACTTAGAGAGAAGAATACTGGAAACCAACTTGTGTTATTCACTTTCACGTACATGTGCTTATATACATTACTCTGGAGGATCTCAACAAGATTCTATCGTATCTACTAGTCCTTATCACAAACCGATCTCGGACTTATCTCTACTAATATATATCCTTAACTCAACCACCATAACGGTTTATCTTAACCACCTAAACCGTGACTAACACTCCCCCTCAAGTAGGAGCGAGTAAGTTACATACTCCTAACTTGGACAGTAAATAATGAAATGCTGAACTTCCTAAAGCTTTTGTCATAAGATCCGCCAATTGCTCTGTTGTTCGAACATGCCTGGTGACTATCGTACGATCCTGAACAGCATCACGAACACTATGACAATCAGCTTCGATGTGTTTCGTTCTCTCGTGAAACACTGGATTCGCTGCGATGTACAAAGCGGATTTACTATCACAAAACATCTCCATTGGCTGTCTATGTGCCACACCCATATCCGCAAGTAACCTTTTGAGCCACTTGATCTCTCGTAATGCCGCTGCCATCGACCGGTACTCTGCTTCAGCTGACGAATGTGAAACAGTATCTTGCTTCTTCGTTTTCCAAGAGATAGGTGAGCTTCCCAGCAAGACCACAAACGCAGACAGAGATCGACGAGTGTTGGGACACGATGCCCAATCCGAATCACAAAACACACGTAGCTTCAAATCACTGACTGCTCTCAACATGACTCCTTGTCCCGGACTACCTTTCAAGTATCTCAGTATTCGCACTACCGCATCCCAGTGAGTCTCTCTCGGTTGATGCATAACTTGCGACAAAACATGAATAGAGTAACACAGTTCCGGTCGTGTGATAGCCAAGTACACCAAACGTCCCACAAACCGCCTAAACCGTGCTGGATCCTTACACAAAGGACTGGTATCGGAGAGAAGCTTGTGGTTCTGTTCCATAGGTGTAGCCACAGGTTTGCATCCGAGTAAGCCAGCTTCTGCTATGATGTCAAGCGCATACTTTCTCTGTGAGAGAAACATGCCTTGAGGTCCTCTTGCTATTTCAATTCCGAGAAAATACTTCAACTTCCCTAGATCCTTCATTTTAAAACACTTACTCAGATATGCTTTAAACTTTGTGAGCATCTCCAAATCATTTCCAGCAATTACCAAATCATCCACATACACCAGTACTCTCACAGATTTCCCATCCTTTATATATGTAAACAAAGAATAGTCTGAATACGATTGCTTGAACCCAAAGGACTTAAGCGCAGAAGTCAGCTTAGCGAACCAGCACCTTGGAGCTTGCTTCAAGCCATACAAAGACTTCCTCAAACGACAGACCTTAGACGGATCATCAGAATGAAACCATGGAGGCATCTTCATATACACCTCCTCTTCCAAATCTCCATGAAGAAAAGCGTTATGTACATCCATTTGATGTATCTCCCAATTCAATGCGACGCCAACTTCCAACAGAGTTCTTACAGTGGTGAGTTTTGCTACAGGAGCAAAAGTCTCGTCATAATCTTCCCCTTCGATATGACGATTCCCACACACAACCAATCTTGATTTGTACCTCTCAACAGTTCCATCCGCATTGAACTTGATCTTATAAATCCACATGCAGTCGAGTGCTTTCTTCCCTTTTGGTAGTTTCGTCACCTCCCAAGTCTTCTCAGTTTCAAGTGATGTGACCTCTTTGGACATAGATTTATTCCATCGTGGATCACGTATTGCCTCCTTGAAGCTTCTCGGTTCTGTTCCTGCTGTTATAGCTGCAAGAAATACTTGGTGTTTCTCTGAGAAAACTGCATCTGAGACATAAGCTGAGATTGGATGAGATGTGTTACCTGGACCATTTTGCGAGGACGATGATTGTGCCGAAACAGAACAGTCTTTATGTTTATCAGGATGACGTTGAGAGTTGTAACAGACATAATCTCGAAGTTTAACAGACGGTTCTGGTACACGGTGTCCTCTTCCCAACTTTGGTTCAGCTGTAGTCTCAGTTGCAGCAGCCTGTTCTTGCAGAGACACTGACTCGGTTCTTGTTGTCGTTTTAGGAACCACTGGTAATACTGATACACCTTCTATACTTTCTGCAGAAACCGCTGGCGATGTCACTTCAGGCACTGCAACCGCTGAATCTCTTTCTTGCGAACTCCCCCTGAAGTCAAACACAGCCTGCGATGTTTCATAGTTCCCAATATCAACATCAGAAACCTGAGGACATGAAGCTTGTTCGGGTAATGAGACCGGTTCCAATGTTTCATCCGTGTGATAAGGAAATGTTGTCTCGCTGAACACAACATCTCTTGAGACGAAGAATTCTTGACTGTCAAGGTCATACAGCTTCCATCCACGCTTCCCAAATGGATAACCTACGAACACACATCTCCTACTACGTTCCTTGAACTTATCTTTGTCTCGCAGCATCTTGTGAGCAAAGCATAAACACCCAAATACTTCAATGTCTCCGTACAGTGGTGCCTTACCATAAAGACATTAATACGGAGTTTTTCCTCCAAGTAGACTCGACGGTGTCCTGTTAATGACATGCGCTGCAGCTAACACACTCTCTCCCCAAAACTTGATTGGAAGATTGGCCTGAAACAACAGAGATCTCGAGACATTCAAGATATGACGATGTTTGCGCTCCACCCGACCATTTTGTTGCGCTGTCGCTACACATGACGTCTGGTGTACAATACCATTCTCCGCAAAGTACTTGGACAAACACATAAACTCGGTGCCGTTGTCACTTCTGATCGTTTGTACAAGACGACCAAACTGTCGATGAACAAGGCGACAAAAATTTGGCAAGATTGTTTTCACTTCAGTCTTCTCAAGTAACAAGTGAATCCAGACTGCTCTTGAGAAGTCATCTACAATTGTGAGAAAATAAACTGCTCCGCAAGACGAAGGTTCACGATAAGGCCCCCACAAATCAACATGTATTAACTCAAATGGAACAGAAGCTTTATTAATATTGTCACTAAAAACACCTCGTGTCTGTTTTGACTTAAAACAAATTTCACAACCTCCAAACTTGTCGGAGTTGTCTACAACACCAGAAACAAAAGGTAAATGACCTAAAACACCAAATGCAGGATGACCCAATCTCTGACGCCAAAATTTTTTGTCCTCACCGGCTTTAACTCTGTGTCCTCGTGCGATCGTGACATCCCGATAAACATAAACACCATTCCGTTCTTCACCGGCTCTAATCAGGGTCCTCGTAAAACGGTCCTGCAAAATACACAGTGTATCAGTAAAGATTGCAAAGCCGCCAACTTGCTTAAGTAACTTTGCAACAGACAGCAGTGTGCAATTCAGATTTGGTACAAACAAGACATGAGACAAAGTGATCTTTTCAGACAATCGCAATGACCCACTCATGGAGGCAAATACTTGACTTCCATCTGCGAAGTTGACCGGACAACTAACAATTGGTGTCAAACCAGTCAGCAACTTCTCATCACCAGTCATGTGATGTGAAGCACCCGTATCAAGTATTACCTCACATGTTTGTTCCTTACCATTAAGCTTGTCGGGGATCATGTGTGGCCTTTGTTGCTCAAGAAGAGCTGTCAGGGAAGCCCACTGCTCAGATTAGAGAGACGGTACTTGTGAGTTTCCCGATGCTTGTGCAACATTCGATCGTGGTTGTTGACTCCTTCCACGACCTCTGCCTCTTCCACGACCACCTCGGTCTTCTTCACGATTTCGCTCTGTCCACCACTCTGGGAATCCAATAATTTGCCAACAGTCTTTCTTCTCATGTCCAGACCGGCCACAGTGTGAGCACACAATTGCTCCTCCTCCGCGAGTTCTCGTTGCTGCTGCAAGAACACCACTTGCAGATGAAGTATCCACTGCAGGTTCTGTCTTAGCAACAAAACCAACTGCCTCCTGTCGAGATTCAACACGAGACGACAACAGGCGCCTCTCTTCACGCACCACTCGTTGATACACTGAGTTGAGATCAGGGAGTGGTTCCAGTCCAATGATATTGGTACAAACATTGCCAAAGCGTGCGTCATCTAGTCCCATAAGGAAGGTGTGCACCTTTTCCTCTTCATATTCCTGCGCAATCTTCTCAGCTGCTCCACACGAACACTTAGGAATCAGCTTGTAATTCTGCAATTCCTCCCACTTCAGAGACAACCGACCAAAATAGTCTATTACGCTTGCACCGTTCTGTTTGCACGCAGCTAGCTCAGACTTCAGCTGATGCACTCTCACCGCATTCCCAACAGAGAATCTGCGTTTCAGATCAGCCCACATCTTGCACGCATCTGCAGTAAACGTCACCGTGGATCTGACAGACGGTGAGATCGACACCCTGATCCACCCCACAATCATTGAGTTTACTGTCTTCCACATCTCCGCTTCTGCAGGTTTACTCGTCTCTTCTGGCATCACCAACGACCCGTCGATGAATCCTGTTTTGCGCTTAGCACGTAGCGCGTTTTCCAACTCCGATGACCACTCAGCATAATTCTCCCCTGTTAACTGAACTGGAGAGATTGAAGTGCCGGGATTGTCAGATGGAGCCAAATAATACGGTGAAAATCTGTTGTTCTCACTTCCACTGCTACCACCGGTAACGATCTCTTTAGACATGTTTCTTTCTCTCTTTAACAAATTTTAGATCTTTTGTCAAGCTCTGATACCATGTAAACTTAGAGAGAAGAATACTGGAAACCAACTTGTGTTATTCACTTTCACGTACATGTGCTTATATACATTACTCTAGAGGATCTCAACAAGATTCTATCGTATCTACTAGTCCTTATCACAAACCGATCTCGGACTTATCTCTACTAATATATATCCTTAACTCAACCACCATAACGGTTTATCTTAACCACCTAAACCGTGACTAACATTGTGTTTCTTCCCATAGTTTTTTATCCATCATTGTTGCTTTAATGACTTGAGTTATGTGA